AGGGGGGGGGGGGGTGTAGATATAATTTGAAGAGGAGAAGGAAGGAGAGTTTATAGGAGTTCGGAAAACAATGTGAGACCAAGAGGAAAACAAATTATTATGAAATAACTGAAAGTAACCAATTACACAGTGAAAGGATGTAACTACTATACATGTTATTAGTCAAGTTATCCTACCAAAGGTCTTGTTGTTTGCGATACATTCCAACACTACGCACTTTATTGTCAATCGTTTGTATTGGTGAAGTGAAGCAAATTTGCAGGTCCTTCAATTAAGGGTTAACTTAGTTACTTACTCAATGGTATGGTGAGTTTGAATGATTGTGATTGTAATGGTAAGGGTGATCGTGTGACTGTAGGTGATTGCATCCAAATATGGTGTTAGTGGTGTAGGAGCTTATAAGACAGGGATAGGGGCATTTGGCAATTAGTGATCTTAACATAAGGGATAAAAATAATGATAACACCGTGCAGGGTTTGATTTTTGTTTAAAATATGTGAATATACAATAATAACTAAAACATGTACATATATAACAAAACCAAAACAGAGATTAGTAAATGAATGATACGATATAGAATTTGCAGGAGAGAAGACAGGAGAGTTTAGGAGTTCGGAAAATAATGTGAACTTGGATCCTCTACGTAGCAAAATCCACACCAGAACTAGCTAGCTATATTGGTATATAGCTAGTTCTGGTGTGGATTTTGCTACGTAGAGGATCCAAGTTCTCATTATTTTCCGAACTCCTAAACTCTCCTTTCTTCTCCTCTTCCTCTCCTTCTATATTTCCCCTTTACCCCTGTAAAAAACCCTGCTGAAGAAGACTGTTAGGTCGAAACGTGTGTAGGGTTGCCTTTCCTACTCAATTTCAATATCTCACTCTTATATCCTCACCTTTTATGGAGTCCCATAAAAATTTCACCTACTTTAGTTTCTATATATAATCGTAGTTTCCCTAGTTTTTTTACGTACATGTTCATCATAGGAGTCGGAGTAAAGAAATGAAGAATAACCATTTTTTGAATACTGGTCCTCTCATTATTTAGGATACACAATGTCTTACACCAGTACTTGTCCAATTTAATACCTATTATATACCAGAAAATGTAAAAACAAAAAACTAAAAAATGTATATACATGCATACAAAAAAATATCGTGCAAGTCCTCTGACTGACAAAAAAAAATCGAACAGTGTCAGGAAGCTGAAAAAAAATATCGAGCAAACTGAAAATCTACCCACCCCCCCATCAAAAATCAAATGGTCCGTCCCTTAGTATAGGTAATCATGCGATGGCGAGTACAATTAGGGATTTAATACGAGTGATGTTTGGAAATGTTACCAAAATTGGACGAGCCGCCGGGCGAGTCCAATTTGGCAAAATTTCTAAACTTTACGAGTACTATTAATCCCTAATTGTACGAGCACCATCGTATGAATACTTGTTTATTGTTAGAATGACAAAATTGGATAAATCCCAATGTTAACATCATATTTTCTCGCCAAAGCCCAGTCCTGCGCGCCCGACTTTCGACCAAAATTCGGTGCTTGTTCGTATTTTCATTGAGTCCTTTTGCTTTAAGTTCCTCTAGGGCAAACCGAAATATTGTAATATTTCGGTTTGCCCTAGAAGAACTTAAAGCAATAATTATAGTGTTTCGTCGACTCGAGTTAGTTTGAGTTTTACCTGATAAGGTTGTTCTCGGAATATGACCAAAACAAGTTATTCAGTAACAATAACTACTCGTCTGCAGCATGGATTTAGGGAAGTATTAGCAACGCCAGGTGTATACGATATCATGTCAAGTTATGGATGCATGAATCTAATTTCAGTTTGCGAGTTGCATGTTTGTATTCGAAGAATTGCATTACTAAGCTAGAGTTTATTTGATTTCGAAGAAAAACTGAAGTATCACAAATTGTTGTTCATTTGTCTTGTTGTCGACTTGAAACTTCGCTGGTCTCTTCGGGCTATATATGTCATAAATATGGAATGTTTTGATTAAATATAATACATTTTTCTAAGTTGTGAAACGTCGGCTACGATCATGATATGCATGATTGTAAGTTTAATAAATATTTAAACTTTGAAATAAACTGTTACATTATATGTATAAGGACGAGTATCCTTTATTAGCAGACAATTTTATGAAAGATAAGAAAAAACATGCCCCCAACAAGAATGCCATTTTGCAAACTCAAGATATGAGTTATTTATAAAGAAACAAACTATGGTGATCAATTTGGTATTTCAAAGGCATTGTCAAAATTTATTCTTGGTAATATTCTAAAACTCGAAGTTGTTTGAACTCTTTATCGAACGGTCCCAGTCGCGTCGTCCGCGAACGGTTGACGGCTCATACTTTACTCATATTTTAATATCTTCGGTTCAGTGCATGCTATGAAGACAGCAATACCACCATTTGATTGAGAAATAAAAGATATACTAATTCCGAACGATATTTATTGTCATTATCAACATTGTAGCGATTTATGGGCCTTTCAAAGTCAAACTGAAAAGATCATATACTATCAATTAAATTACGAAATTGTCTGAACAAAAATATAGAAAATAACTGCGGCCCCTTCGAACATATCGTCTTTGTAATAATCATGTTCGAATCCCATTAAAAACACCGTATTTAGAGTGCTATTTGCAAGCCTGTATCTTCAAATTTGCATCTTTTATCACGGTATTTCCATTTCTTGTCTGACTGTGAGCTCGAAATGAGCTCAAATCCCAACCGGAAATACGACTAAAAACCGTCAAAACAATACGATGTTTGTATCGTATGACCCTGGAAATGCCAGAAATGGATTCAGAAGGTCAAACTGCACCTACACGCGTGAGTTTGACGTCATCCTGGCCACAGGAGCAATGTACGCGAGTGCGAGTAAACCCGACATCTTGAAAAATTCAAAATAAATATTTCTACTCGCCGTATTAAAAACTCAATTTTGTACACGAAAGCGCTTGAATACAAGGAGTATTTCACTTGGATTGACTTGTAGGAATTCCAAAGAGTTCAAGAGAAATTCAATTTTAAATTTAGCCAAGCGCCGAGTAAATATATGATTGTTTCGGTTTGTGTAATGTTTTGACGGCACTTGACCCCCGTTCGAAAGGTTATTTTGTGAGGATTTCAATGGTGGCATTTATTTAAAATGGGGGAGGGGGTAAATACTCGCCGAGATATTTACATTGAAGTCGTAATGTAATGCAAAACCGGCCTGTCGAGAAATAGTACGTAATTAGCATACACATGAAAATAAATTTCAGAGTTTATAGTGCTATATAAGTATATGATGCTATAACTTAAGAGTTTACTTGCATACAGTGTGCTATAAGTATGTAAATGTTATTATTGGCACAATAATGGAAGTTAACAAAGAATTAAGAGGCGCTAGCTAACGTCACTTGCTATAGGGTCCTCTGAATATCCCACCGGGCACACGACGTTGTTTCAACGTTGAAATTTGGTAGAAAAAAGGTTGCGACGTCGACAACCTAGTATCTACGTTGCTCTGACGTTGTTTTACAAACATTGGTTCAACAGCAGCCAACAGACGTTGAATTAACGTTCATTCATGGTTAAATGTACGACGACGATTTGTGAACCAATCTCAACGCTGTTTTAACGTGGATTCAACGTTGAATTATGGTTGACGAGATTGGCAACCTAATTTCAACGTTGTTTCAACATCGAAACAGTAACGTCGATCCAATTTGCATAGTCAACCCTTTTTCAACGTCTATCGTACGTCTGGAAGGTCATTTCCAACGTTGATTCAACGTTGGATAAACGTCATTTTGCCCGCTGGGATGTAGATTATTCAATACATGAATATATTAAGTAAAAACAACGTGAGTTTGGCATCATTCGCAGAGTGCTTTCCAAACCAACTTGACGTTTCGCCCGCCCAATTATCGTTCAAACGCATTTTTGTTTGCTTGATTTCGAGTTCTCGCAGAAGTTGTAGTGTTGGTGGAATTTAAAACCGTTCGTTTCCAAGGATGAAGTTGAGTGGTGAATTGCTGGTCAGCCATTTGGGATTTTTTTTGTTCCATGGTTGCCATTGAGTTCGGGTTCCGGTATATAGCTCCACTTAGCAGGGTAGGATACGTAATTTCCCCCGGTTGACGGGTGACTTGTCTCCTATGGGGGTGGAGGAGGTACCATTGGTTGACTAAGGATTCTAGGAATTATTATCCTTGGTGATGTTTCCTGCTTAGTCAGGCGCATCTTAACTAGCTGCCGATCACATCCCTATCGGCGACAGCGGCCAAATATAATTTGGTATGGTAATATCTAGCAACATTAATTGCTGGACGGAAAGTTATGTGACCTAATGGCCGCATCAGATGATTAATATCATATGAGATGTTAATATATTATTAATGTTTGTAATGTAATAAGTCGGTTCAAAATTTAATAACATTTCATAAAACAGCTTTTTCCCATGGGCTGCCCTTCTTGAAGCAAAAGGAAGTTAATCATTACCCAACATATTGTCCTTCAACCCATTAAAGGTACGGTTTCTAATAGCGTAAAACGTTTTGCTGACATCTTGCTGTATATAATAAAGCAATACGGCCATTTATTGCGTCCCGATATCGTTCAATTTCATTTCACATGTCTTGGAACTGAAATGTTTTTACGGAAACTAACACTTTCGAATTACACTGAGTTATTCATATCCAAAAGTGCCCCGCAGTTTTCTCAAAAACTGCTATTTTATCTTCACTAATATAATTTCACGACAATTTTTTTCATTGTTTAAAGACTCGGATCGATCACGATTATGTCACTCAAAAGGATCAATTTCTATAGGCTAGGGGGGAAATTTTGATTTTCGAAGACCGGAATTCGAAAATCAAAATTTGTTCTATTTCCTGCGATTTCAGAGTGAAATTCTTGCAAAGTCAAAGAGCAACAAAAAACGTGTGATATGAGAAAAATTCTTAAATACCTTTTCTTTATTAAATTTGTATTTCAACAAAATTTAATTTTAATGCACTATATATTTAAACTTAACAGAAAATTTCGCTCAGTTTTAGCACCATTGGCAGAAGAAAGAGGAGAATATTGTAGGTGTACATTTTGATACCCATCTGTAATATGATGCTTTCATTTGGAATTGAGTAAGCGTAACTGTAGTATACTAATATATTTATATCAATGGGAAAGATCTTCACAAATTTTGCTGATATTCGCCATTTACAGTAGGATACCCAATCGAGTCTGTACACATGCATTTAGTGAGCTGAAAATATCTTCTTAGAAGCCAGAAATAAATATTGTACTATCCAAATCAAAATGGCCTTACGATTCACTTGATTGAAGTTGGTCCATTTCCATAATTATATACGTAACTAAGATAACTTGAATAAATCTCGACAGAATTGCTAAATAATTTACGGTATTTAGATTGGTCGTGCTTTCGAAGATGAGCCGGACAAGAAGACAATATTCGGCGAGATACGCATGCGCGTATGTTCAAATGCAATGATAAGTTACTTCCTGAATTACGTATCAGAAACTGTGTGCAAATTTAAATGCAGTCCCATTACATATAAGAATACCGTTTTACATCGTTGTATAAAACATTTTGCTCGCATGTAAGGAACTATTTCTCCAACCTCGCACCCAGGCTCTTTGGCCTCCGCGCCTCGCTGGAGGAAAGACCCTCAATCCTTCACAAAATATATTGAGACTTGCGTATTTATCTATAAAATCAGCAAATTCCTACCATCAGGAGCTCGTTCTTCTCCCCCTC